CCTAGCGCTCTTTTCCCATTTTCTTCTTTTTGTCAAAAGATACCACCGATATTCAAATGCTTTCCATTCATTGTCTGAGATGCTACATTTTTCTTTCGATTACTTGTGCTCTTTTAGAAGAGTGCTTGCTTCGATTCTTTGGCTAATCACTTGTCACCCAGCTTGTCGTTAGTTCCCTTAAGACCCAAACTCAACGAGATGTCTGGCGACTCGCTCCTTTGCCGAGGTGTATGACCTTCAGTTGGGCGCCTGGCACCTCACTCCTTCGCTTATGTCTTTGATAAGCATTTGTCATCCAACTTGTCGTTTGTTGCCTTAAGACACAAAGTCAACGAGGTGACTGGCGACTCGCTCATTTGCCAAGGTGTCTGACCTTCAGTTGGGCGCCTGGCACCTCACTCCTTCAGCGAGGTGCCTGACCTTTAGTGTCACTACTCTTCTTGTAGACCTTCTTCAAGTATTATTCGAGGTGCCTGACCTTCAGTTGGGCGCCTGACACCACACTACTTCAACGAGGTGCCTGACCTTCAGTGGGGCACCTGGTGACTCGCTCCTTTGTCGAGGTGCCTGACCTTTGATACGGCAGCTGACACCTCACTCCTTTGGTGAGGTGCCTAGCGACTCGCTCCTTTGCCTAGGTGTCTGACATTTATTTGGGCTCCTGTCACCTCACTCATTCAGCGAGGCGCCTGGCACCGCACTCCTTCAACGAGGTGTCTAACCTTCAGTGGAGCGCCTGACACCTCACTCCTTCGACGAGGTGCCTGACCTTCAGCGGGGCACCTGGTGACTCGCTCCTTTGTCGAGGTGTCTGACCTTTGATACGGCGGCTGACACCTCACTCCTTTGGTGAGGTGCCTAGCGACTCGCTCATTTGCCTAGGTGTCTGACATTCAGTTGGGCGCCTGTCACCTCACTCCTTCAGCGAGGCACCTGGCACCGCACTCCTTCATCGAGGTGTCTAACCTTCAGTGGAGCGCCTGGCACCTTACTCCTTCGGCGAGGTGCCTAAACTTCAGTGAGGCACATGGCGACTTGCTCCTTTGTCGAGGTGTCTGACATTTAGTTGGGCGCTTGACACCTCACTCCTTCAGCAAGGTGTCTAACCTTCAGTTGGGTGCCTGGAGACTCACTCCTTTGCCGACGCTACCCCCTTGCTTCAGGTAGCTTATTTCGTGCCTAATTTTTTGCAAGCGCTACCCTTTACAATTTTTGAATTAGCGATTGCGCCGCCGTGTGTCCTCTTCTTCAATCGGGGGAGGCGCCTCCGCGCCCTTGTCTCTAAAATTATTGGTCCTTTTCAGGCAACGCTCCTTCCATCCGCTGGGCGCCTTCGGATCTCCCGTAGGTGAGTTCCGCTTTGTTTTTCCTAGGCGCCACCCTTTACAATTTTTGAACTAGGGGTGGCGTCGTCGTTCGCCATGTGTCGTCTTCTTCAATCAGGGGAGGCGCCTCCGCGCCCTTGTTTCTAAAATTATTGATCCTTTTCAGGCAACGCTCCTTCCATCCGTTGGGCGCCTTCGGATCTCGCGTAGGTGAGTTCCGCTTTGTTTTTCCAAGGCGCCACCCCTTACAATTTTTGAACTAGGGGTGGCGCCGTCGTTCGCCATGTGTCCTCCTCTTCAATCGGGGGAGGCGCCTCCGCACCCTTGTCTATAAATTATTGGCCCTTTTCAGGCAACACTCCTTCCATCCGCTGGGCGCTTTCGGATCTCGCGTAGGTGAGTTTCGCTTTGTTTTTCCTAGGCGCCACCCTTTACAATCGGGGGAGGCGCCTCCGCGCCCTTGTCTCTAAAATTATTGATCCTTTTCAGGCAACGCTCCTTCCATCCGCTGGGCTCCTTCGGATCTCGCGTAGGTGAGTTCCGCTTTGTTTTTCTAGGCGCCACCCTTTACAATTTTTGAACTAGGGCTGGCGGCATCGTTCGCCTTTTCTTCAATTGGGGGAGGCACCTCTGCCTCCTCGTTTCTAAAATTATGTATTTTCTCATGTGTCGTTCCTCCATTCGCTGGGCGCCTTCAGATCTCGCGTAGGTGAGTTCCGCTTTGTTTTTCCTAGGTGCAACCCTTTACAATTTTTCAACTAGGGGTGGCGCCGTCGTTCGCCTTTTCTTCAATTGGGGGAGGCGCCTCTGCCTCATCGTTTCTAAAATTATGTATTTTCTCAGGTGTCGTTCCTCCATTCGCTGGACGCCTCCGGAGCTCGCGTAGGTGAGTTCCGCTTTGTTCTTCCTAGGCGCCACCCTTTACAATTTTTGAACTAGGGGTGGCGTCGTCGTTCGCCTCTTCTTCAATTGGGGGAGGCGCCTCTGCCTTGTTTCTACAATTATGTATTTTTTTCTCAGGTGCCGTTCCTTCCATTTGCTGAGCGCTTCCGGAACTTGCGTAGGTAATCTCTGCTTAATCTTTCTTAGGCGACACCCTTGCGAAATTTGGAACCAGAGGCGGCGCCATCGTATGCCTTTTCTTTAATTGGGGGAGGCGCCTCCCCGTCTTTGTTACAAGATTTTTCCTTTTTTGAACTCTCTTGCTTGTTTGAGCGCCACCCTCCGAGCTTTTGTTAGGCGCCGTGTTTAAGATTCTCATTTTCCCAACAGTTGCTCTATCAGATTGCTCTAGCATACTCGCCCCTTGTTCTTTGTTGCTTGTTTTTTGATTAGGTTACCTCCTTCAGGAGACTCCGCGCGCCACCTCCTCCTTTGTTTGAACGCGCTCACCAGGTGTTTGTTTGTTTCCCTGCTCAAGCGGTGCTTCCCCCTCTTTCGTCTTATTCTTTATTTGCGATGTAGGTTTATCCGTTTCAAGGCGTCTAAGGCGCCTTTCCTCCTAAGGTTACGGGGGCATAATAGCGGTTTTTTGCCCGCGCGTTACCTGCTTCGGCGTTGCACCCGGTTCTCCTCCAAGACTCGCTTTTCTGCCCACCTCTCTCTCTTTGCCATGGCGTCTAATAACTCGCAGCCATCAGCTTCTATGGGTGGCACCTCCGCTCCCTCTAAAGGGAAAGCTAAAGCTTTGAGGGTAACATGTCCAGTGTGGAGCTCGAGCTTGAAACGGGCAAATTTCGAGCTACTGACGACCCCGACTACAGCGTTTTGCGATGGCGTGGCTGAAGTCTCCCCACGCGTACCGCTGAAAAGGAGGTGACGCGCTTAGGCTTCTCCTCGACGGAGGAAGCGAGCTTGAGTATCCCGTGCGTACCCTTGAATAAGTGGTAACGCGTTTAGGCTTCTCTTCGACGGAGGAAGCGAGCTTAAGTATCCCGTGCGTACCCTTGAAAAAGAGGTAACGCGTTTAGGCTTCTCCTCGACGGAGGAAGCGGGTTTGGGTGACCCCTTCTGTCAAGGCAGGAATTTTTTGCGAGGGATATGGACAAAATACACTTTATAGCCAAAAGTTTTGCGTTTTTTCAAATAATAACCAATTTTGGATAAATATCACATATAGGCACTTCCGTCCAATTCTTTAATGGTGTTAGTGAATAGACTGACTGGACAAACATAAAGGCAGAGTTGGCGAGTTTCTCCAGTGACAATTCCACGCTGGATTAATTTTTTTTAAAAAGAAGGTGTAAAGTCTCCACCCAACGCAAAATCCCTTTCTTCGAGTGGAATGTTTCTTCAATCTCCTTCGCCTGTCAGCATCCCTCTGATCTTGTCCCAAGTCCCGACGACTGGGTTCCGACATCCCTCCAAAAGTCCATCAAACCTTCGCCCAGAATGAATCCTACGATTCAATTGAGAATCGATTTGGTTTGCATGTGGGGGTGGGGTGAAGGCGTCAGGAACAACGATGAGGACAACCTTCTCTGGCGCCGCTAATCGTCAGTATCTCTGAATCTTCTCCTGCCGCCGCCTTCCGCATTTCCACCGGCAGCTGAAGAACATATTTCGCCCAGCCCAGATCTCGATTCCTAGGTGAAGAAGACACAGATTCCCCTCTCCCCGGCATAGTTCTCGCCTCCACTGGACCGCTCCTACCCTGTATCATGTTTTACCAGTCGATCAAAACAGAGGCAGTGACGAGCACAACTAGTGAAGGTGAGATGTTGCTAGGTAATTGGAAGGGGTGGTGGTGGGATGAAATTCGTCCGAGTGCGTAGCCAAGCACAACAAGATGACGACACTGTTTCGTGCCCCAATTGTGAGAGCAGGTTTATGGAGGAGATTGAGTATTCTATCAGATGACTCCGATGGAGACGTGCCCTCACCGTCATAGCTTCCTGACGGCTTTGAATTTTGCCTCATTCCCCGCTTCTCCCTCTGTTCGTCATCAGAATCTGTAGCTTTTTTTTTTCCATCGCTCACCTCCTCCCCTGCATCCAAACCCAGATGCAAAGATGGATAAAGCGAGAGAGGCGCGTTGGAATAAGAGTGGAAGCGAGGGTAGAGAGTTTTGGACAACTGCCCTTCAAGATCCGGAGGTCGGTGGGCGACAATTGAGTTGAAGTGACGGCAGCGACGGGTTTTGGGAGGGGGGAGAGGAAGGAGAGGAGGAAGAGGAAGGAAAGGGGAAAGGAGAGAAAGACTCGTCCAAATTTCTTTTTAAGTTAAAATATGACATGTCATCTACCTATTATTGGAGGGCGAGTTGTCGATGATGTGTTTCGTGAGTTGGCAGCCAAGTATACATACCTTTGAAATAACTAATGGTGTCATTAACACCGTTAAAATTTGTAACGTAAATGGCTATATTTGTCATGAAACTTTTAAAAGTCTCGCTATATCTGGTATTTCTCCAAAAGTGACTATTATCGTCACAAACGTGAAAGTTATAGCGATGAAAGTGTATTTTTCCAAAAATAAATATAAACCGAAAATATTTAGAACTTTACATACAATCAAGCTACTGATACAAATATATACACACATAAAGAACTCGAAACCTTTTTTGTGAAAAACTATAAACAGAGCATACTTAGAACTTTACATACAATCAAGATACTGATGTATACACACATAATAACTTTTCCTTAACGTAGACAGAAATCCATCAGACGACCACTAGTTGGGGGTTGCTAGCACAGCCTGAGACTGGCGTTCATAGCGAAACCCATTAGCTTTCGAATCATCAGCCGACCAAGCAAAAATCCCCTGCAGCTTCCCCTGTTTCTTCAACCTATCGCAGGCCTTAAAGAACCCATCCGCAGGGGACAATCCGCCGCTCCCATCACTAATGAAACTCACCAACACCTTCCCGCCGTCGTAATTCGAACTCTGCTCATCATAATACTTCAGAAACTGGTCCACACTGGTCTCCTGATCGTACGCATAGAACTGGAAGTTGACATAATCGATCACATTCCCGTACTTGTTCCACAGAGCCTGGTAATGGCTCTGCACCTCGGGGTCGTCAAAGGGAGCAATTGAGGCAAAAGAGATGACCCCGTTGTTCTTCAGAGTGGTAATTAGCCGGCCGATGCACTCGGCGAACGTGTCAGGGTTGGATTTGAAGTGCTCGTAGTCGATGTCGATGCCGTCCAGGTTGTACTTCCGGATGACGGCGGTGAGGGAGGTGACGGCGTTGGAGACCCAGGAGTCGACGGAAGACGGCGTGAAGTAGCAGTTGCCGTTGGAGACGCTGTCGCCGCCGAGGCTGAGGGCGACCTTGATTTTGGGGTTTTGGGATTTGATGGAGGAGATTTGGGAAGCGCCGAGGTTGTCGGTGTCCCAGAAGACGTTGAACTGGCCGTTGGTGGGAGATGGGGAGCCGGAAGTGTCGTAGTCGATGGCGAAGGCGAGAAGGAAGTGGAAGTCGACTTGTGGGTTGATTGGGACGTCGGTGAACTTGACGTTGTTGAACTCGGCGCCTATGTATTCCCGGAAAAGGTCGGCGGTGGCGGTGGGAGCAGCAGCGTGGTTGGGCAGAGCTTGAAGGATGGCTAGCAGGAACAGAGCTTGCAATATCATCATTGGCTTCGCCATTTTCTTTCTACGCTTATGTGTGTTTTAGTGTGCACTGGTGAAGTGTAATGGATTTGAGTTGATGATGAAATGGAGGTTGGCTGCCGCCCTATATTTATATGTTCCAGCTAGGAAGAGATTTGGAGCTTTGATCTCTCGTGTAATGATTGTACATAGATGAGGATGAGTTGGTTGCCGTGAAGGTGAGTGTACGTTCTGCTATGTTCAAAGGGTTGGAATCTTGATTTGTTGTTGTTTCGATGTTTTGGGTGGAACGTTGAAATTTCAATGTAAAACATTTTATTCATATGTCGTGAAAACATGCTTTGAACACTAAACTATTTTGTTATAACTCACATCTAAATAGCGAAGATCATAATCTCAAAATTTGGGTCTCCCACAAAGATATTTGGTCTTTCTACCTTCACTCATGGTAAGCCAATGGAATTTATGATAAAAAAGAATAATTGTTATATATAAAGTTGAAGCTTAGTTACTATTGTCTAAAAAAATAATATTTTGATAGTCCAAATTTAATTAAATCACAACTTAATCACTAGAATGTAAATTTTATATTTTATTATATATAAAGTTGAAGCTTAGTTACTGTTGTCTAAAAAAATACCATTTTGATACCCCAAATTTAATTAAATCACAACTTAGTCACTAGAATGTACATTTTACATTTTGATACCCCAAATTTAATTTTAGTGTAAAATTCTTGAACAATTATGTTTTGGTATCTACATTTTATGAGATTTTCATACCTACAATTTTTTTAAATTATATATTGGTCCAATGTTTAGATTTCACTTCAATCAATGAATCCGGATCGACCTATCCTGTTCAACCAATCCATTAATCCAATCCAATGTTTAGATTTCACTTGAATCCATGAATCCGAATCCACCAATCTTGTTCAACCAACCCATGATCCCAATCCATCATAATATAAAAGTATAAATTTAGTTTGTACCATACAATATGTTGTATCACTTAACTGTAGGAGAAGATATGACCATTTTATATTTGCTCATTACGTGAAATATTAAATAAATGATAAAAGAGAGAAGACTCTAAAGTATTGCGAGGAATTTATAAACTCATTTAGTACATTTATGGGGTACTAAGCAAACTTCTACTAACTAAATGTAATAAAATATGCGATATCTGCATAAGCAAGTGTCAATAAATTGCTATGGTGAAAAGAGTTGACTGTTGTATTGACGAAAAAATAAAAGAATTGCTCAAAACCTTTCCATCATCTACTTCCTCTTCTTTTCATTTTTCACTCGCCTTCCATAACCCTAATTAGTATACTATTTTTATGTATTCTAATAACATGTATGAACGGATCCATACACGACTCACCAATAGTTTAGAGAATTAATAATTTAACCATGAACCACTAACTTTTTCAGCTCAATGTCGAGTCCAATTAAAAATAAATATATATGGTTATTACTTATTAGAAAGTCATCATTTACCACTATGGGATTTGAAGATGTGAAATTTTAAGCGAGATCCAGTTTGTATTCCTTTTGCTTCTCTCTAGAGTTTTTCTTTTTCACCCGAGCTAGAATTTTCAACATTTATACACGGAATGTCTAGCTAGGTATCTACACATATAAAATAAATAGTTTTTTATTGTTTTTTATAAAATATTAAATCATCATCTTAAATACATCACCATAAAAGGAATGGGTAGTTATCATAAATGGTAATAAAACTATTCACTTTATACAAAAAGGTCACAAACCTTTAATTTTGCACGTTTCGATAATAAAGTTTGAGCGGATAACAAAAAGGTCAATCCGTCCAGTTCCATCCAAAAATCCATTATATTTGCCTAGTCAGCATGACACATCATTAAAAATATGGGTTAAAGACACATTTGGTCACTGAGATTACAAAATCGGGACATGTTTAGTCACTAGAAAAAGTTAATATCAAATTTGGTCACTACAATTACTAAAATTGGACACATTTAGTCACTCGCCGTTAGTTGCCGTCCAACTCCGTTAAAAGAGTCCGTTATGTGCTGACGTGGCTAACGTGAGCGCCTAGTCAGGCCGTTTTGGGCAGGAAATGGTCAAACCCGACTCGCCACGTCACTAAACCCGCCACATATTAAACCCAACCCAGAAATAAACCCTAACCCACCTAACCATACCAGATCCCACTTAAAAAAAAAAACTGATTTGTTTCCATTTCAGATCCAAAAACCCTTCTCCTTCCTCGAGACCTCTTCCCCTTCGCCATTTTCGATCAAACTAATCCTAGAGCAGAGAGCAGGGAGAGATGGAGCAATTAACGCTACCCCCTTGCCGTAGAGGCGGAGGGCAGTGACGCACACGAAGTTGGAGGACCGGTGGTCGTGGATAGTTCCAATTTGAAATCTTCGGCCTGTAAAAACAAACCCCAGATGAGAAATCTGTGTAGTGGTGATGAACCTTGTGGATTTTCTCGTACCCCCATTTGCAATGAAGGAATCTGTGCATCCAGTAAGTGGTATAATCCTCAACCACAAAGTAAACCAACTGGGCAGCAATTTCCCCAACTGATGGCAATGGCAGCCCTGTATGTATTCCAACAGCCTGGGTGCAAACAAATAACAGAACGAGAAAACTCAAAAAGCGGTGAAAGAAACAAACTAACAATTTCCTTTTTTTTACATTGATGGAAGGGTAAGAGATGAGCTGCAGAGGACTGACGACGAATAAGAGGTTGAGCATGACGTCCTTGTAGCAGTTGAAGATTTCGGCGGCGGGAGTCTGGATTTGGGGCTGCTCGAAGAAAGGGGATCGGAGAAGCTGGATGAAGACGAAGGGGAGCGGAGCCACGGAGAAGATTACGCAGACGAAGAGAATGTCGTGGCATGCGAGGAAGCCATCGGACTTGTCGGTGGAGTAATTGAACCACAGTTTCTCGGGGTCATCATCGCCATCAAGTCCATCGGCCTCTCCCTCGAGATCATCTACCTCTGCATCTTCGTCGTCTACGACCGCCATAACAAGGGCCGCAAGAAGGTCTTCCTCGGCCTCCTCGGCGAGGTCCTGCTCTTCGGGGTCATCATCGCCGTCGCCCTCGCCAGCTTCCACACCCAGCACTCACGCAACATCACCGTCGGCATCGTCGCCGACGTCTTTGGATCTGAAATGGTTTTTGGATCTGGTATGGAAACAAATCAGTTTTTTTTAACTGGGATCTGGTATGGTTAGGTGGGTTAGGGTTTATTTCTGGGTCGGGTTGGGTTAATGGATTGGGTTTAATATGTGGCGCGTCGGGTTTGACCATTTCCTGCCCAAAACGGCGCTGACTAGGCGCTCACGTTAGCCACGTCAGCACATAACGGACACTTTTAACGGAGTTGGACGGCAACTAACGGCGAGTGACTAAATGTGTCCAATTTTAGTAATTGTAGTGACCAAATTTGATATTAACTTTTTCTAGTGACTAAACATGTCCCGATTTTGTAATTTTAGTGACCAAATATGTCTTTAACCCTTAAAAATATTAATAAAAAAAGTATTTAATAATCCAAATTAACCCTCACAACCCAACCGGTTCAATCTCCCGATCATCTCTTTGATTCTTCGGCAATCGGCATCAGTACACAAATGCTGGATCAAGTCAACTGCTTCTTGATTAGAAGCCTTGGGAATGGGAAGGAGTGAAATTGAATCAGTTTCCCCAATCAATACCTATGAACAAAGTGGTATCAATCTTTCTTACCTTATCCCACAACGAATCGGAGGTCAATATCAGGAACTCCCAATCTCATTGAATCAGCACAACTTTTGTCTCCGGCTCGGCAACCACGAACTCCTGAAGATGCCCATCTCTGATCCCTCTCGTCACGGCAAGAGACCCCTGAATCCGCCAAACACACTTGTAGCAATCCACGTAACCGCCGAGGGCCTCGATTCGCTCCTTTTCTTCCGGACGAGAAGCTCGATGATCCGACGTGAGCGCCTCCGCGAATCCTCTCCTGCTCGTCACGGCGTCGCAGTCGCCGGCGTCCGACACCACGAGGTTGCCATTCTGGCCGCCTCTTCAAATCCACCATCGTTAGATCTAGACAAAGACGACGATACTTCGGCGCTGATGTTTTCCCCAAATTATTTGATGCGAATCCAGCTGCTCTCGCTCCGCCGTTTTCGTCGCAGACTCTGAACGTAGCCTACATCAATTGAGAAGCGGAATTGAGTTTGGTGGGTATTAGCTATTAGGGTACGGCTGGGTGGGTATAGAGCTACTGAATCGGTTGGGTTTTGTGGTTTAATTCAGATGATTAAATGTTTTTTTATTAATATTTTTAACAACGTGTCATGCTGACTGTGCAAAAGTAACAAATTTTTGGACGGAAGTAGATGGATTGACCCTTTTGTTATTCACTCAAACTTGTATTACTGAAACGTGCAAAATTAAAGATTTGTGACCATTTTGTACAAAGTGAATAGTTTTGTGACCATTTATGATAACTACCCTAAAAGGAATTAAGCCACAACTATACAAATTACAGTTCGGTACCTAAACTTAATAGATATTTATATTTATAACCTAAATTTATTTTTTTGGAATATAAGTCCTCAAATATTGTTGGAACATTACATTTTAGTACCTATTTTTTGTGTATTATATTTTGGTACCTAAACTTTTAAAGGTCTACAAATAGGTCTAATTTTTGTTTGTGTAGTTAAAACACCCTCGAATAAATGGGTATCCATACCTAACTCATACACATTTAGATTATGAAAGTAAATATTCATACCCTACCCAAATCCATTTCAAACTCTTAAACCCATATATGAGTCACCCATACCTACACATAATCAATGGGTCTACTTGGGTTTAGGTAAATATAATTTATTAGCCAAAAACTTTAGAATTTTTTAAATTGGATGTTGACCGCCATATATCTCTTCTCGGTCAATATCATATTTGAAGTCAACATTACTAAAAAAAAATGCTAACAAAAAAATTAATTTTAGACAAATAATACTAACAAAACACCATAACGAGTCACATAAGACATGCACATAAGTCATCTACGTCACGCGACAAGGCGCGACATTAAAACCTTGTTTGAATTTAAAGTAAAATACAATTGAATTTGTTCCTCTACCGGTGGAGGGCTCAAGATAGGGTGCATAACCATGGGTTATGCACCCATCAATAACCAAATCTGGACCCTTCATTTAGAAAATCCAGATCTAAGGATGGAGAATTAAAGGATATTTTTATTTTCACTAGCTTTCTTAATTGACTCATATCTTTTTCGTTTTAACTCGGATTTTAATTATTTTTGCACAGATGGAACGAGTTCACCGTGCTCTACAAAATGAGATCAATTTTCAATATTTTTTTAGGAAAAAAAAATTCTGGCCTCTCGGTACCAACTGCATACGATATGGTATCTTCTTCGTTTTTAATTCGTTTTTGAAAACGTTTGCACAGCAGGAATGAGTTCATCATGATCTACTGGATCTACAAATTTCTGGGTGAACAAATTAGAGGACCAAAAAATACCACACAATACCATACAATACCACCCTGGTACGGGGTGGTATTGTATGGTATCTTCTTCGTTTTTAATTCGTTTTTGAAAACGTTTGCACAGAAGAGACGAGTTCATCATGATCTATTGGATCTACAAATTTCTTGGTGAACAAATTACAGGACCAAAAAATACCATACAATACCATACAATACCACCCTGGTACGGGGTGGTATTGTGTGGTATACAATGTTAAAAGTCGTAAATTATAATTAATATACTTCTACTATCATGTATTCAACCATCCTACAGTATTGGTTTGTTCATACCACCATGGTACGTTTTTCAAAACATAGGTATGCTTTTATTTCAATACCAGTCAATACCATGTGGTATAGGCTGGTAAAAAATTGCTCATTTTTTTTTTTGTTCGAAAAATATATAAAGTGGATATCATTTTGAAGAGCACAATTAATCTGATCTAACTGTGAAAAAAAAAATTAAATTTCGACTTAAAATGAGCGAGAAATCGTCCGTCAAAGATTAAAGAGGGAAAAATTAAAGGCTTTCCATGAGAGAGAGGATGCTGATGTCATGTTGATGTGGACGGGTTACTCATGGTTACTCACCATATGGTTACTGACCTGATCCATTCCCCGGTGGAGATAGATGTTTGCGGCACAAGGATATGCAAGGGAGCATACGGGCAAACCTGTGTATCACCTCACGATTAGACTAAATGGTCGGATGGATATGGGGCAGAGTGGGGCGAGCTTATTGGATCGTGCTTGGTGGCTGTGTGAGGGGCATGTGCAAGCACGTTATCGTGTTTCTTGAGCGTTTTTTTTTTTAATACTTTAGTGCATCTTTTCCTTTTATGCTCGGTGGTGCGACTCTTTGATACACTTTGGGTTCTAAGACTATCCACAATGGTGGAAGGGAAAAAAAGAAAAAAAGGATGGGAAAAGTGGGGAAAAAGGATGAGAGAAAGATAATGGTCACAATAGGTGCTAGGGAAAAAGGGTATTGAGGAAGAGTTTTTTTTTTCAAAATTAATCTAGAGTTGATATGGTAACTTTATTTTGATAATTTATTCATTATTTTTATATAGGTAGTATTAATTAATTAAGACGAACATTTTGATATAATATTTTTTCAATTTGGACATAAAAAATTTTATCACTAAAATCCAATAACTCATAAAAAACCAATAAGAAAACCATAAAACAATTTTTAAAAACAAAAAACAAAAAAAAAAACTCACCCACATGGTCCCCCCTTCCCTTTCTCCTCCCACCCACCTGGACCCACGTCCCCTCCTTCTTTTAACCTCTAGCGCAGGATAAACCCTCCCCTTCTTTCCCTTTTATCCTTTTTTTCCATAATACCCACCCCTATTGTGAGCCATCTTCTCCTTTTTTCCCCTTTTATCCTCTTTTTCCCTTCTTGCTGTGGACGGTCTAATTGGGGTAGACCAACCTCCTACGACTAATTTTTATATTTTCTTAAACAACTGATCTAGGGTGATTGTAATTAAGTAGCGAGTTTAAAAATAGCTTAGCCACTTGGCATCTTCTTATTAGCTAGTTTAAGTAACCGTTTCTCTTTATTGTTAATGTACAATGTTCACTTATATATATATATATGGCGAGTTCTACAGTACCCAGGGTGAAATCTGGGGTACCGCATACCTTGAGTAAGAAAACGCTATCCAGATTTTAAATTGACTGATCTTTCGGGCATGAAACTATACTCTAACCCTTAAAGATCAAAATCTAGGTCTTAATTCTCTAAATCATATACCCCAAGATTAATTTAATTAGAAACAATAATCGACGGTTATGATTCGTCCAAATATAGGCAAAAAAATCAATGCACCATTTAGGGTTTATAGTTTATGATTTAGATAATTAGGACCTAGGGTTGACTCGTTAAGGGTTAGGGTATAGTATCATGCCCAAAAATCCTGCTAATTCGAGGTGTAGACAGCGTTTTCATACTCAAGGTATGCGGTACCCCGGATTTCACCCGGGGTACCGTAGAAGGCACCATATGTATATATATATATATATATATATATATATATATATATATGGCAAAGGCTAGCGTACGCCTGGACGTACCCTAATCTACCGTACGCCCATTGAATTTTGCTATTTAGACAATGAATTAACCGGAGTTTGGGGCATGATATTATACCCTAACCCCTAATGGGTGAACCCTAGTCCGCAATTCACTAACCCAAAGCATAAAATTCATTTAATCTTGAAATGAAAATCAACGGTTTTGATTCGTCGAAATTATTGTTGATTTTCATTTCAAGATTAAACGAATCTCATGATTTGGGTTAGAAAACTAGGGACTGGGGTTTATCCATTAGTGGTTAGGGTATAGTATCATGCCCAAAACTCCGGTTAATTCATGATCTAAATAGCAAAACTCAAACGGGCGTACGGTAGTCTAGCGTACGCCCGGGCGTACGCTAGCCTAAACCATATATATATATATATATATATATGGTTATGTCTTCGGTGCACTCACTTTTTTGGGTGCATTCAATGCACCCGCCTCATAATCATCATTCTGAGCAGGCGATTCATGTGAAAACGATGTCAATCATCACTTGTGGTATGATGAACAAGAACCACATGAATTTGTACAAAAATCATTCAAGATTCACTTTAATTTGAATGATTTAGGGTTTAGGAATTTAGGGTTAGGGTTAGGGTTTACAATTTGGGATTTTGGGTTGAGATTCAAAATTGAAGGTTAATAGGTTAGGGTAATGGGTTGATTAGTTGGGATTCTATGTTATATTATCATATTAGACAAATACAACCCATTAAATTTCAAAATTTAAGGTATTATGACCACTTTTAGTGGTGGGTGCACTGAATGCACCCAAAAAAGTGAGTGCACCGAAGTAGCCACCCATAATATATATATATATATATATATATATATATATATGGCAAAGGCTAGCGTACGCCCGGGCGTACCCTAGTCTACCGTACGCCCGTTGAGTTTTGCTATTTAGACAATGAATTAACCGGAGTTTGGGGCATGATACTATACCCTAACCTCTAATGGATAAAACCCAGTCCCTAATTCACTAATCCAAAGCATAATATTCATTTAATCTTGAAATGAAAATCAACGGTCTTGATTTGTCAAAATTATTGTTGATTTACTTTTTAAGATTAAATGAATCTCATGAGTTGGGTTAGAAAATTAGGGACTGGGGTTTATCCATTTGAGGTTAGGGTATAGTATCATGCCAAAAAATCCGGTTAATTCATTGTCTAAATAGCAAAGCTCAACGGGCGTACGGTAGACTAAGGTATATATATATATGGTGGCTTCTACGGTACCCCGGGTGAAATCCAGGGTACCGCATACCTTGAGTATAAAAACGTTATCTAGACCTCGAATTAGCAGGATTTTTGGGCATGATACTATACCCTAACCCTTAATCAGTGAACCCTAGGTCCTAATTATCTAAATCATAAAGTATAAACCCTAAGATGGTGCATTGATTTTTTTGCCTATATTTGGACGAATCATAACCG